TGATTTATCAATTATCATAAAAGCCTATACCTAAGCAGTGAAACTAGCTATACTATGATACTGTGTCTTTATAATTGACTTATTTAAGAAAAAAAAGTTTAAAAGATGGAAGCACATAGTACATTCAATGAACATAATACAAATTGTAGGAAACAACAGCTGCAATGATGCACTTTAAAGTCAGAATGAGATTATAAACAAAACACAACAGAAGTTAATGGCGAAATTCCATCTCTTTAATGTAAATGACTTGGAATGAAGCTACTGAGTCATCCTGGCAATATTAAACTGGTAGAACTAACAAAAAGCAAAGCTATTTAGATGGTGTTATGCAAAGATTTCTTATCTATGACATGAAAATTTCATAAAATAAAAATAACTGATGATCTGGCTATATACCATCTCTATATTCATCAATCCTGACCCAGGCTGACAAGCTGATCTACTACTTAAGGGCTTCTTGAATTTCTCATTTTGCTTGCCATACTAGGTCTATCCCCACCGAATCAGTACAAAAGTTTCCCAGTAGAAATCCACTGATGGAAAAGCTAATGAGACAGGAAGAAATACAGTTGAATACATCAGTATTATTCTTGCAGAAATGTGATGATATGATATAAAAGTTAATTAGGAACAATATTTAGAAACGCTAAGTAGAAATAGTTCAATTTAAAAATCTGTTAAAATCCAGTTTAAGGAATTTGAGATAGCTCTAAGAATTTACCTGCATTGGCAATAATGTTATTATCTCCAAAATATTCTTCTTCTAACATAGAACTTAATGATTTGCCTTTCATGATACAATTCTCTGATTCTTATATCATTTGAAATGACTCGAACTTATGGAAACCCAGTGGATGCTTCCCAAATTATTTCATATGGAGGTTATGTGTGATCCTAGGCAAAAGTCTAAAGACAGATCACACACAGAGATTAAAAGGTGTGTAGGATGGGCAGGTGGGTAATGGGATTAATAAGAGTTATAGGTAAGGATTTCACGGACAGATTAAATGTAGAAATATTTCTATTTCTGTATTTTTTAAGCATTTTTTTCCTCTGAGTATACTAATTTCACAGAACACATACTAATGTTCAGAGAACATTGGGCAGAAGTCTTTCTATAATATATTAAATTAAAATTAAACTAAAAAAAATCTAATCGCCTGCAAGGCACAGTTCCATCAGAGACAGCAGTTATCAAGTAGTAAGTAATTGGGGCATACAGACATACTCAGGTGATTTACTTTAGTCCTGAACAGGTAAATTAATAAACCACTTAAGTGTGCTGCTCACCAATGGGTTTGGCATCATCGCTCAAGATTTCTAGCAAAGATTTCTAGCAAAGATTTCTTAGGTATTCCCAAAATTACAAAGGTCAATTCTTCAGAACATTAACAAGTTATCACATAATTCAAATATACATAAGAAACAACAGTCACGAACAAAAGCTGGCAATTTTTTTTTCTATAGTAAATACCCTAAGCTTTGCCAGCAGGTAATGGGGTCTCTAATGAAACTACTAAACTATGACATTTGCCATGAGAAAAGCTGTATCTGTTCCTATATATAGGCAAGGTATTGAAATAAAGGAGGTCAGGGGACTGAGGACCGGAAAGATGGCTCAGCAGTTAAGAACACTTTCTGCTCTTGCAGAGGTCCAGAGCTAGGTTCCCGACACCAACATTAGGAAGCTCACAACTGCCTTTAACTCCAGCTCCAGGGGATATGATACTCCTCTGGCCTCCAGGAGCACCCCCACATACATGCATGTATCTACACTCACACACATACACACACATTTTTGAAAATCCTTAAAAATTGTCTATTTAGACAATTAGTTATAATACATTTTAATATCTCAGTATTGATGGATCTAGAAAGAAAATCAGCAAGGATACTGATACAAAAGGACATTACTAACCAACTTGACTCAGCTGATATTTATTGTATATTCTGCCCAATAGCACAGATTTGACTCTTTTCAAGATTCTTTAAAGTGAAGAGGGACTAGAACATATGCCAGGTCATAAAAAAAAGTCATGCTTAAAAGACTAAAATCTTACAAATGTGTCCTCCACAGTTCAGATAAACCAGAAATCAACAACAAAAAAGAAAAACATTGGGAAATCCCCAAATATTAGTATATCATACAATGAAATTGTAAAAACAAAAAACCCATGGATCAAAGAATAAGTTTTAAGAGAAATCAGAAAATATTTTTAAAAATAGTACAAAACTGGCTGAAAGATAGACATACAGATCAATATAACAAAATAGCTCAAGGATGAACTCTCACATTTGATGCTGGACAAGTATACTAAGGCAATTCAGTGGGGGTAAAGGTTAATCTTTAGCCTTTTCAGGAAATGTTACTGAATTAGATACTTATATAAAAAATCATTACACCATAAACAAGAAATTAAAATAGATCATATACCTAAATGTAAAGGCTAAAATGATAAGGTTTCTGGAGGAAAACACAGGAGAAAATTTTGGATGACTTACAGTTCAGCAGATTTTTGGATAAAATACTAAAAGCACAGTCCATAAGTAAAGCAACTGATAAACTGTCTTTCATAAAGTTAAAAGTGGTTGTTTTTCAAAGGCATCAAGAAAATAAAAAGAAAAGCCATAGATTGAAAAAAAATTGTAAATCATTTATCTGATAAAAGGCTTATATCCACAATATACAAAGAACTCAAGACAAATAACCCAATTTTAAAATGAGCTAAAGATTCAAAAGATAATTCAGTAAGAAAGATAAATGGCTAATGTAGACATTAAGCGACCCTCACCATTTGCGATTAGAGACCTGCACATTAAAACTCAAATGGATACCACTCCAGGGCTAACTTGAGTGACAGTCTCAAGCAGATCAACTTTAGGAAAGAGTACAATGGAAGGTGAGAACATGGAAACTGATTCTCCTAAAATTATCTTTGCTGACATACTCCTTAGAAAGCTTTGGTATGCTTCCAGTGGTATACATACTTTTCTTGAAGACCCATGGTATATACAAAACAGAGAAATTCAGTTATAAGAAGGCATTTAGTTAACAGGGTTTCATGACCTGGAAAGGTGTCCTGCATGAATGAGGCTGACTTGGCAAAGAAAAGTAGTTAAGACTGGGAAAGTGGCCAACACTGAGAGGAAGAGGGAGGAAAATTCTTGCTACGTTTTCTGACATCATTATTATTTTGGGTGTCCCTAGCAACTGGCAAGTAGAATAGAATGAGAAAGTTACCCTCAGGTAACACCCAAGATGTTTCCCCCCTTTGCTGACTCCCACACAGGTTCCTTGCCCCAGTTCACACTGACTAGAAAGTACCATGCCCAGGCAAGTCTTCACATTTCCCTTTAACATTCACATCTAGAAATCTGCAGCAGCAACAAACCGGAGCAAAGAATTACAACAAGAAGAGTTGATCTTATATGCCCACAGCCCAACCAAGGTATAGTGCTTGTCACAACAGAATAAAAATTGTTTACATGCCAGTCTCTTCCTCCTGCTATTACAGAGACAGCCTTCTTTAACAACAGAATATTTTGAGATCTTCAGCATTCAGCATAGTTCCCAGAACTGTCAATAAATATTCAAAAGAAAAAGGACTGGGTTGGTTAATACTGTAGACGTGGCTGGGGAGGCAGCTTAGTTGGTAAAGTACTGGCATGCGAGAATGAGAATCCAAGTGAAAAGTCAGGCATGGTGGTACACACCTGTAATCCTAGTGCTGGGGAGAGGTTCCCTGGAGCTTGTAGGTTAACTAAGAATGAGAATCCAAGTGAAAAGTCAGGCACCTGTAATCCTAGTGCTGGGGAGAGGTTCCCTGGAGCTTGTAGGTTAACTAGTCTAGCCTAATCGGTAAGCTCCAGGTTTGGTGAGAAATCCTGTCTCAAAAAAGGTTAAAAATTAAAGTGAAAGCAGGGTGTGGTGGCGCATGCCTTTAATCCAAACACTTGGGAGGCAGAGGCAGGTGATCTCTGTGAGTTCAAGGCCAGCCTGGTCTACATATTGAATTCCAGGACAGCTGGGGCTACAATGAGACCCTGTCTCAAAAAGGCCAAAAATAAATGAATAAATAAATAAAGTGAAAAGTGATTGAGGAAGACAGGTACTTCACATAGACCTCTGGCCTCCATATAAGTGCGCGCACACACAGACACACACACTTATACATTCACATGGATGGATACATACACATGTATATACCACACACATAACTTTTTAAAAATATTGTAAATATAAACTCCAAAGCACAGTTTGAATGTCTTCAAGGATCTTTTTAAAAAAACATTTTGGGGAAGGAAGTATACTACAAAATCCATTTTTTTTCAAGATTTTTAAATTCATGTGTATGTGCTTGTATGAGTTTATATGCACCACATGCATAGGGATGCCCAAGGAGGCCACAAGAAGGCATCAGATCCCCTGTAACTAGAGTTACAAGAAGTTATGAGTTGCCAGATGAAGGTGCTGGGAAAGGAACTCTGGTCCTTTGTAGGAGCAATAAGTATTCTTAAGCACTGCACCATCTCTCCAACCCTGACTTTTCCTTTTTAAGAGATTTTCTAATCTACATCAGGCATGGTGGCATATGTCTTTAATCCCAGCACTCAGCTCTCAGGAAGCAGAGGCAGGTGGATCTCTGTGAGTTCAAGGCCAGCCTGGTCTACATAAGAGAGTTCCAGGCTAGATGGGGCTACAGAGAGACCCTGTCTCAAAAAAGTGCCCCCCCAAAGAGATTCTCTAATCTATAATTCAAAGCCTGATACAGTATTATACATAAAAAATTCCTTTTAACGTAAAATCTTTAGAAGAAAGGCTACATAAAAGAGTGAAACCACAGACGGTAGATAATGGGTAATGGTTTAGTATCAGCGACTCTTAAGTATGTCTCTTTGAAATATAACCTCCAGAAGTTCAAACTTCAACTCTTGAAGCAAGCATCTTATCACCTATCTTTGGTATAGACATAATAAACAAACAAACATAAGCTTACCTGCCAGGAAACTGCTCCCAAAATTGCTGTTGCAAGAAGACTAAAAAAAACTAACTGCTCTGAAATTAAGCAAAAATGACGCATCCCTTTGGATGCCATGATTCTATCAATACTATTGTTATCTGCCCTGTGGGTGAAATATACTTTATGGCAGTCATTTAATTTGGTATGGAATCCCCAAAGAGTTAAAAGAAAAATGATATGACAGATCATCCAAAAAATTCCAAAAATGGAAAAGCCTGGTATTACAAAATACCAGAGATGAGTGTCTCTAAGTTTAAATGCTGAAAGAATAAAAAACGTAAGCTCAATCATTCCAGTACAAACAACTGAAAGTCTTCTGCAAATTCTTCCACGGTACAAAAAAGGTTTCCACCTTTCTGTTACTGAAAGTCCACTAAAGTAAATGTCAAGGAAAGGATCAGTTATCAGGCAAATAAAAAAACATGCAAAAGCAATTGGATTTTGGGGCATTTCCAATGAAGAAAAAAACAACAATACTACAAAAATTATTAAGTTTGGAATAGCTAGGAAGGACTTCATTCTCAGGTCTATAATGAGCATGGCCAAGGCCACAACAAGTAAAATAACACTCAGAGACTTCTCCACCAACATAGTTGTGCTGGCTATGGCAAATCCAACAAGTTCCAGAAATTCTACCGTGGTTAGTAAAGTGGGTCGATGCCGGACATAACCAGAAATTCTCTCCACCAAAGCACACAATATCCTTAATACTATGGAAGTTAAAAGTAGATATTTGGTTGATTCTTCTTTTACATCATTTTTAAAGAATGAATTATCAAGAAAACATAGAAGGCCAAGCAAAAATCCAAACCAAAGATTGGAGAGACTTAAACTTGCTGCCTCCATTGAAAAATAATAGTAGAGTATGCTGGCAATCCCAAGAACAAAAAGACCAAGGATAAAAATTACCAAAATTAAGGAATTGGCTGTTTTTTCCCATCTTACATAAAGTCCTAAGCATATAGCCACCAGTAAGTTGATTCTGGCTAAATAGCCAAGATAGCGCACGGAGGAATGCATGTTCACTTCCCTATTCACTTCTTCCAGTCTGGTCATTGCTAGGTAGAGACAATGACTGAAGCAGTAGCGCAGTGATTTACACATGTAATCTGGCAATGTAGGCTTCTCCCCCACGGCACAAAAAGGAACTTCTTGTATTTCATTCAACAAATCCAATGTATAGGTAACCTCTACTCCAACATTTTCTCAGAAGTTTTCTTTATAGTGATCTAAAAAGAAGAACAAATATTTCAGTGCTAATTTTATAAAATTTTTGTGCCATTTCCTTCATACAAAATCGGAGAAAAATAAAGGTCCTTCTGAAATCCAGCTCAACATCTCATTTGCATATATCTTAATAGTAACTGTTTCTGGCTTACAAACTCTGCAATTTAAACAAAAGAAAATGGCTGTGCTTTCTATTCATCTTGCTAAAACTGCATGACTAAATCAGTATCAATGGAATCTTCCTGTCAGAGATGGTGCCGAACTTGCCTAATCTATTCTTGTCTGAATGTTCAAGTTGGGTTCAATTATAAGCACATGGTTTTGACGCAAGGAAAAGCTGCTCAACTACTAAATAGAATGAGGGACTTCATCATTACTTCTAATTTGAAAACACTAGCATGCAGAAATAGAAACCACTATTATTTTTCTAAAATCCCCTACATCTCTTTACAACACAGTTCTAAAATGCCATAAAAGTTCAGTCTTTACATTGTTTAGCTAATTGGGAGTAAAATTTAACTATATTAAAGTTACTCAGTCCCTAAATTTGATCCATAATTCTCCCTGCACTTTCACTCCCATTAAAATAAACTTAGGGGCTGGAGAGATGGCTCAGCAGTTAAGAGCACTGACTGCTCTTGCAGAGGACCAGGTTTGATTCCCAGCACCCACATGGTGGTTGCAAACGATCCTTAACTCCAGTTCCAGGGTCATTTACTTTTCAAATCTAAATGCTATCTATTCAGTAGGTCAATTGCTGAGCTTCTGAAATATTGGAATGCTCATCAAATCATGATAAAGTAAATGAAGAACATCTTCAATTCTACATTTTAAAAGTCACTACAACTATTTTCTAGAGGACCCAAATAATTATTTCAACCTTAAATGTACCCGTAAATTTTACCTACAATATGATAGTGGTAAAAAAAAATTATTGTGGGACCAGTTAAAAAGCTCAGTGGCAGGGGGAGGGGGGCTGGAGAGATGGCTCATCAGTTAAGAACACCGGCTGTTCTTGCAGAAGACTTGGGTTCAAATCCCAGCACCCACACGGCAGCTAACAACTGTCCATAACTCCAGTTCCAGGGGAATTCGAAGCCCTCTTCTGACCTCCTCAGGACTGCATGACACGTACATGCACTCACACACATTCAGGTGATACACTCATACACATAAAATAAAAATAATAAATAAAATATTAAAAAAAGAAAAGCTCAGTGGGTAAAAACACTTGCCACCAAGCCTGACAACCTGAGTTTTATCACCAAACAAGAGAACCAACTCCAGAACGTTGTCCTCTGATCTCCACAAGCTAAGAGTGTCCTGGCCCATACTCTCACGCACGCATGCACACGCGTACGTGCACACACATGCAGATAGTGATCAGTTTATTCATACTTTCTTAATAGAGGAACACTAAAAGATACACCCAACAGAAACATAAGATAACCCGGAATTAACTCCTAAGTAATCCATTTGGCTGGGGAAGATTATTTCTAGATCACTAGGATATTTCTACTTTTATATTTCCAAAGCCACATTTTTATTACTAAATCTATTTAATAAAGTATTCAAACAAATTTTGCTCAATTACATTTTCATGCAGTCACTTCTTAAAACATGAAAATGCCTTCCTTTGGTATATTTTGGCATCTTTTTACTTAAGTGTGAGAAACTGATGATAAAGTCTGGAACTCATTCAGGTTTCATAATATAAGATTCCTCTGTGCTATACAAACATTATACTAGTAGAATGATATGGGCTTAGAATAAGAATTAACAGAGTGAGAAAAAATTCACACTTTGCTGAAGAGTACTACTTCCTATTCAGGAGATGCCCCTTCTCTGTTTTCTGGTCAACACTCTTTCCCATTCTGTGACTATTCAATCTCCTCTTCCTCCTCTTCAAATCTCTGACACCCACTTCCCACTGCATTTTCACCACATGACTATACTTCCTACAGGGTCATCAGAAAGGAGCTTACCTGAGTTTCCAACAGCACAAGCCACCTCCATCTGCATGTAGGAATGCAAGTGAAGAAGTGAATCCTTTCCCTGTGCAGCCTAAATCTGCCCAAACTCTCACTTATCTCTTATCCATTAGTACTTAAAACACGTGTAGGTATGGTGTTTTTAAACACTTTAAAAAAGTAAAGGAACAAAAACAACAAAGCCAAAGCAATCTTTGTTCATCCCTGTCTCTTCCATGAAGCTCAATTTTCTTTCTTCTTGAGAGCTAATATTTAATTATTCCAGTTTTCATCCCCTCACCTCAGAACACTAAAGTTGATCCCTCTTATGTAGCCTGTCTGCTAAGTTCTCAAGTGATTGCAAATTCCTGAGCATAATGGATGCTATGCATTTAGTATCCTGGACATTCTTTAGAAAGCCTTCACACTGCTGAGTACTATCAACTTCTGAAACTTGCCCTTCCTTGGCTTCTAAAGACCAAGGCTCCAAACTTTCCTCCTAACTCAGTGGTTTCTCCTTGGTCTTCCTGAAAGCCCTTCATTGCCAACCCATCCCTGGGACACCCAATCTCAACTTCAGGGTTTTGTCACTACATCAATCTTTGGGTCATCTCATTCATTTCCATACTTTCAATTTATATAATTTAATAAATACAGTAATATATAATACAGTACATTCATATCGTGGAATACACACAGTCAACTTCCTATGGGCCTTAATTTTAAGACTAATGTACAAATCTTTTCCCACTTCTGAACTTTGAGAGAGAGAGAGCCAAAAATAAAAAGCATTATAATTCTTTTCATTTGGGGTGCCACAACTCATTCAAATGGAAAATTCCAGAGGCAATTAAAACACCACAGAATTGTCCATCAGCACTAGTCACTGTGAAGTCTATTTTCTAAAATCTTAGGCTGGGGATTTAACTTGGTGATAGAAGGCATACTTAGCATATGGGTTGAAACCCAGCAATGCCTCCCAACACTCAATCCTACAAACCAGTTTAACCTTCCTCAATTCTTCTCTGCCTACCATGTAGTCCTCACCAGTTCTTGACTATTCTTTCTTCTAACATCTCTTTCACATTTCTACTTCTCATTCCCAATTTGGGTCACCATCATCTTATGCCTGAATGTCTCTCTTTTATCCACTCTTGTCCTTCTATAGGAAGTGTGCTTAAGAGGAGTTTTACGAAGTTACTCTGTTATGCAAAACTCTCCAGTGGCTTTCCATCCCCCTTAGTATTAAAGTCTAAACTCTTTATGGTGCCTTATGAAGCACTCTACATTGGACAAGAATAATTTTCTTGCCCCATCTGTTTCCACTTTTCCTCTCATTTTGTATTCCAGACATACTGACTGACACTTCAGTCCTGTACTACATAAATACTATCCCCTGTCTGGGCATATTCCTTTTCCTCCTCCAGTTCTTTCCTATCTGTCTTCACACCTGCTTACTCAAACTCTTCAGGTCTGGGATTAAATCATATTCTTGGGAGGCTCGCCTCTCATTGTATGATCTTTGCATTTTCTCTGTAATAGGAAAAGAAAAATATTCTTCACCACTTGATTATTGTCTGCATTCTAGGTAACAAGGTCTCTGAGGTTTCTCTTCCACAATGCATGCTCAGTATCTAGCAGACTCTGTCATCAAATTGGTATTCAACTTGGAGGGGGTGGAATACAGAAATAACCACATTTAAAAATAATAGTAATAAGTGATTAAATACTTCACTAACGCAAAGAAAAATCAACAACTTGTCTAATACACCACAGCTAATAGATATAGCTGAGTTAAGGGGGAATTCCAGGAATTTTTTCTTTTAGCCTTACTCCAGCCATCACTTAATTCACTCCAACACAGAAAGCTGTGTGTCCTTCCTAAGGCAATGGACTTCAAGACACACTGTATCTATCACTTTCATTATCTTTCTATTTCTGTTCTCTCTGGGGGAAGTGTCAAGAGCTGAAACCAGCACAAAGGAGGCAGAGTTGGGGAACTGCGGTCTTTTCTTTCCTGAGTTTCCGCTAATCACTTTTTAGGCCCATCTCATGGAGAATGGCACCTCCAACACTAAACTCCTCTTTACTGAGCAGCAGCAATACAACTTATCTCCCGAATATTAGGCATCCCCTAAAATGGAGAGTGAGGCAGGACTGGGCTGCTCAGCACGCCTTGCTGGGAGAAGGGACCATCATGCAGGGCTTGGGGGGGAAGGGTGTCCTTGGCGGTCGCCAGTGCGGGACCTGAGGGGCGGGGCCTGGCCTGTCCCAGCCCGGAGAGGCGTCTGCGCCCTTCGCCGCCCGAGGCTCTCCCGCAGCCCCTACCTGGCTCGGCCGCCGCCGCCGCCGCCGCTCGCTACTGCGCTCGGAGGCCCGCGAAGCAAAAGGCCGAAGGGGCTTTCCGGGCTGAGTCTGCGACTTGGAACCGGGAAGTGCCAAGCCTGGGAGAACGAGAGCCTGAGACCGCACGCACTAGCACAGCCAGGCCTCGGCTGAAACTTTCTCTAGTACCGACACCGCCGCCATGTTTCCGCCGCTGACTCCAGGACGGTACGGATCGCCTTCGGAGTCAAACCGCGCCGTGCGCTTCCTTCCCAGGCCCAACGTCTGCGTTTCCCCGCCCAACCAGCTTAACTCCTGACCCTGAATCCGCAGGTGAGAACTGGGACCTGGAAGACCACTGAAGATCCGACCCATGAAGCATCCAGGTCACCGCCTTGAGGTGGACCGAAACTGGGACAGCCTCACCTGGATTGTAAATACTGTAGGAGGCGTTGCAGCTCTTTAATAAAGATGGCATAATATATGGCTTTGTGTGTGCTGACCAGCTGAATGAATCCCAAGCATTCAAAGATCTCTCCTTGCCTTGGCCTGCTTTCTAATTAAGTCTGTATATCCCGAGTATCTTTACTCCTTCACCCCTCTCTCTCCCTGGCTCTGAGCATCCTTCAACTCCAGGGCTAATTGTCATTTGTACTCTGAAGTCACTGAATCAACATGAAGCTACTATTTAGAAGCATCATTTCACTCACAGTGTTGAAGAATAGGATAGTCTTAGGTTGAACGTGGTTGCAAGTCTTGGTTTCTCTATAAAATGGTAACGAAACCTTCACAAGTGTGCCCCTCCAGCACAAAATCGGTATTAAAAATTTCTGAGTTCAAGGCCAGCCTGGTCTACATAGTGAGTTCCAGGCCAGCTGGGGCTACAGGGAGACCCTGTCTCAAAAAGACAAAAAAAAAAAAAGACCTATACCTGTTAAAACGCAATGTTGAGGAGGGCTTTATAATGCCATCTTGCAGTAGAGGAAAGAGACTGGTCTCCACCCAAAACAGAGCCAATACAAGTAGGAATTTAAAGTCAAGGAGCAGGGAATAGGGGACATCAGTGGATGGAGAACTACCGAGAGGTTAATGGAAACAATGACTAAAGAGACTTAACAGCATTCTTGTGAAAAGGTCAAGGGTGACTACCTGCCACCTGGGAAATGGGAAGAGCCTGATCAGATATGGAGGATGGAACATTCTAACTACACTACCTTCACAGTGTTCTTTTGTTAAAAACTAGATTTTACAAGGGTCTGCACACTTGGGCCTAGAAAATGGGTTTGTTCAAAAGCCCTAATAAAGTTGGATCAGGCAAAAAGCATGAGTACCCCTTCTGTTTCCCAAGACCTTCCTGCCTTCTTTTTCTACCAACATTTTCTATTGTGTATAGATCTCACAGAGGTCAAATAATCTCAAAGCCCTAGTTTCCTCATACATTAATGAATTCTGGTAACACCTATCATTCAAGGTTCCCCTATGGATTAGTGAGAATGTATGTTTTAAAAATATCTTACTAACTTTAGAAGGTTTATCCCTTAAGATAAAGCTCAAAATCCTTCAAAAGGGCATGTTGGTGTTAGAGTGCTTGCCCAGCATGCCGATGTTTAGAGCAAGCACTGCCATTAAATAAATAGAGACAAGTTGTGTTCTTTTCACCTTCAGCTTAAACTCTCACACACTCCCCAACTCTGCTCCTAACCTGCTTTTTATTTTCACAAATGTAAGGACATGTTCAGTTTTGCTCACTATTACATCAGTTTAGATCTGTGCCTGATATAGAGTTAGCACTTAAATATTTTTAAAACAAAATGATGGAATATTAAGGGCCCTTGCTAGTTCTCATTATTTATTTTACATTAATGTTATCTATGTATTCTTCCAAGTCCTGTAATGTTACAGTAGCCTTAGAGGCTATTAAAAATATCAGGGTTCCATTAGCCTGAAAACAGCTGGTTGGTTCCCAGTCTTTATTTTTCTTTTTTCTGTCAGACAATATGAAACACCCCTTAAGGCAACTCACAGAGATCCACCTGCCTCTGCCTCCCAAGTGCTGGGACTAAAGGCACGTACCGCCACACCCGGAATTTTTTTTTTTTTTTTTTTTTTAAACCCCTTTGTTTTGGTTTCTTGTGGGGCCGGGGAGATAAAAACCCCCCGGGCAAAGACCCACCTCGG